GAAAAAAAAGAAAAATAGGTTTTTGAAAATTTCCAAGACATACTTGATTTTTTAAAACTAAAATTATATTAGAAATTAGTGTTTAACCGAACAGGGCTGAATTCCAAAAAATTAAAATTTTAATCGAAAATTTTGTTTTCAATATTTTTGTTGTTATTAGAGTCTTATTAACGTTACCAGTTTTAGTTGACTCTGATGAAATGTTCTTTTCAAAATTAAGAATTGGCAAAAATTATTTTTTACAATTTTGAATCAATATCACGACATTTTGTCATCATTTTAAGTGCTAAAATGAGCTACTTTTGCGCACTAGTGTTAATATGGACTTTCATTTTGCAACGATTTTTATATGTACAACAATTTTATTTAAGATAAAAATAAAAATTACAATTGGTTAAATTCGAAAAACAAATACTAGAAGTTACACGCAATTCGTCAGATATGTGAACACTCGAAGCTCCCGAAGACGATAAAGCTGTAACAGTTTCATTCAATTTCATTTTTTTTTTCAATCTGGGTGTTTTCCTGATCTTCTCCACCTAGTAGCAACTTGCAGATCTTCTTTTTATTCTCTAAAGAATCATCTACGTATCCTTCAGCTACATTTGGGGATTTTCAGGCTTCATGTCTTTTTATAACCGACATATCAGCTCCTGCGTTGGCTAACAAAGACGCTGTAGTTCTTCTAAAGCAATGTCCAGTATATTCTTTTGCACTTGGAAGTTCCAAAAAATGTGCAATTTTACTTGGGAGACCACCGAAGGTGCCTACTGGTTGCACGGTACATCTTCCCTTTTTATAATTTATAAAAAATCTGGCATGAGGAGTATGACATGGGCGCATGAAATTGAAAAATAAAAATAAATTGAAATTAAATAAAAATTCAGTTTAAAATAAAACATTTACGGTTATGTTTTTTTAGGTAATTGCGTTAGGAAAACGAGGCTTTCGTTCACAAATGACAGTACTCTAAATGTCATTTTTTATATCATGAAAAAAAGTACTATTATTCATTAATTTTCTTTATTTTTTATTTTTACAAGTCACAGGGTGGGTTTCACCAACATCAGTTAAATCAATTAACAATCCGTTAACGCTGTTTTATGAATAAATATGACAGAAGTCGTTTCACCAACTGCAGTTAGCACTTAACTATAGAATAAATAGTTCATTAAATTAATTGGTCGAATTTCACCAGTTAAATCTTCCGTTAAATTAATTTGACAACTGATACGTCACATTTTTTTGATTATTAATAGAAAAAATTAATTTTGCATTACATAAACCGGAAGGATAAAGAAAAATATAGCAGAATTATAATAGTTTTATTAAGAGGATGCTCACGTCCTCTTCCTCATCGTCTGATTCTTCTTCGGAAGAAGAAGTGCCAGTCGTAATCGCAAGACCTCGACCTGTCCTACGAAAAGATCCTTTTAAGAAATACGACGACAGGAATTTTAAAATGAGATTTAGGTTTTCAAAAGATGCGGTGGTGGAAATATTGGATTTTATACAGGGTTTTTTGTAATAGAAATTACCCAATTTCTCCGCTTTTGAAATTGTTAATAACTTTAAGAGTTTACGCGACGGGAACGTCTCAAATGTGTGTAGGAGACTTGGTGAATGTGTCAAAATCTTTAGTGTGCTGTATTTGCAAGTTGAACGGTGTACTGGACCCATTTATGATGTTATTTTGTATTTTTTGTAATAGATAGTAAATTATTCATCGAGTGAGTAATTTAAACTGTCATAACTTATAAATTTTAATAGATATAATTTTTTTTAACATTTTTTCTATGTTTCTGGTATCTTACTTTACATGACATTTTTCTCTATTCCGATATTTCCTCATATTGACAGTTAAATCACCTAAAAATTTACCAGTTGGGGGTAAGTACTTCCCTTCTTTTTTCACCAAAACTACGCTGTCTGTGTCAAAAAAGAGTACTCCATCACCCAACGGCTTTAAATATTTGTATAACTCCAAGTGCCAGTCGTAATCGCAAGACCTCGACCTGTCCTACGAAAAGATCCTTTTGAGAAATACGACGACAGGAATTTTAAAATGAGGTTTAGGTTTTCAAAAGATGCGGTGGTGGAAATATTGGATTTTATACAGGGTTTTTTGTAATAGAAATGACCCAATTTCTCCGCTTTTGAAATTGTTAATAACTTTAAGAGTTTACGCGACGGGAACGTCTCAAATGTGTGTAGGAGACTTGGTGAATGTGTCAAAATCTTTAGTGTGCTGTATTTGCAAGTTGAACGGTGTACTGGACCCATTTATGATGTTATTTTGTATTTTTTGTAATAGATAGTAAATTATTCATTGAGTGAGTAATGCTATAGCAGCGTTACGACCATAGGTTTTTTTTCCAAGTACCTAATGTTCACGATGTAAGGAAAATTTATGGTAACTTTTATAATTTAGCACAATTTCCTAATATGCTAGGTGCAATTGACTGCACCCACATTACATTAAATTTACGGATGTAGTAGCGAGATGGCTTGGGTCAGTTCATGACTCTATCATTATGAATGATTCGCATATAAGAATGAGACTGGAGAACAATGATTTTCCGAATGTTATTTCCTCCACCCGTCTTATATGTTTCCACCTATTTATAATTTACGTTCATTTTATTAATAAATCCATGTTACATTTAAAAGTATTTATTAAAAGTCACCTTTTCATGTGCAATTTTTTTTTCATCGTCCTTTTTAAATTTTCATAGAGCAACCTCAGTTGTGCAGCTGATCTGGGACCAGTTTTGACAACGGCATTAAATTGGTGGGTTATTCTATCCCAGACGATATTTTTTTTGTTTTGCAGAAACGGCGTCTGTTTTTTTTGCATTCTAGAATTGACTTGTTTTCTTTAACCAACTCTAAAAGAGTGTTTTTCGTCTTCTATAAAATTTTTTGCTCGGTCGCGCTTGGTCTTCGCATCATCATATTCCATCCCTGAAACATTTGGCTCATGAAAATGTTTATTGACAGCGACCTTTCTTCTGAAAAACTCTAAAAATCATTGTTGTTGATATCTTTGAGTCAATTTATTTTATCAACTTTATTTAAACACAAAATTCACTGACACTGACAGTTCTCGGTACATTCGGACTCGAAACACAGTAAACAGACGGCTATTTGACAAATAACTAACTGCTAAAACACGTTGGTGAAATGAATTTAAATTTAACAAAGCCGTTAAATTTAATTAATGATTAACTAACTATAGATTTACACTGGAGTGCAAAAAAAAAACAAAAATTGTCAAAAACAGCATTGTCAAATTTTTCAGAGATTTACATGGTGTGGAAAAGGTTGTTCCCAAAGAGGTTAGAAAACTATCAAAAGAAATGTCGTATTTGGTGGTCTTGCCAGTGCAGTGTCATAGTCAGTGTTAAAAACGAAATGGAAAGACATGGAAAACTTGATAGAAGTTTGAAAGATGCCTGACAATTATGAAATTGTAAATTGTGACAAAGACAACGTCAAAAAACTGGCATTTATTAACAGGCCAAATTACATTATAAAAAAAACAATTTGCGTTTTTTTTTTGCACTCAAGTGTAGTTGTTGGTGAAATTCACCCACAGCAAGTTTATTTATTAAAAAAAAAATTGTAACAAAAAAAACAATATTTGTGCATACACGTATTCCGAAAAAACATGTTCTATTAAAATATGTAACCAAACATATTAATATTAAAAAAAAACAGTTGACTATCTTTATTTTGACACATGCCATTTTTACATCAGTTTGACAGCGGCATTTAATGCAGTTGTGCGATTTACAAAAATATATACTTTATGGGGCATATCATTTGAAATAACCAAGTTATAAGGGTGCGACAGGCGACCTGGGACCCCCGGTATAGTCTACGATGCACGACGAGAATTCTTCAGCGTTAACATTTCCCTTTCCCTCATACCAGACGTATCAGATAACTTCCTGTGTAACATTATTAAACATAGTAAAATTATGAACTATTATTTTTTTCTTATAGTATATGGCTGAAGCTTTCAAAAGTGGACACAGAAGAATCGCCTGTAAACTGTGATCTGCTTTCATTTCTTTTCTTGCGTCTTTTTTCATCTGTTGATGTTCTATCCATTTCTCCTCACTTAGATTATTGACTCCGTGCATGCAACGCAGATTGCATTGATCCTTTTTAGGTTGAAATAACCCAATGTGTACCTTTATGAACAACATAAAGGTTAACAAAATTATAAACATTGTAAAGTTTCGGTGTTGCCCCCCGCAATCGTCTGCACACATTCAATCATCACGATTATTCTTTACTGAATCTACTTGTTGTGTTTGGCTTTTGTTTTTCTCCAATTGTTTGGATCATTTACTCATTTACGACCTTTTCCGTTTTGTACTGGCTTAACAGTCTTAACACAACAAACTATCAATATGACGTGTCTACGCGTTTACTATTTTCATCACGAGATGGCGATGAACAGAATCTTGCCGAAAAAAAAATAATTTTATGTATTTTTGAATACTAAATAGATAATTTTTGCATTATGGCATTTATGGACCTTTTTTACCATAAAGTATATTTTTTTGGAATCTATGAAAGCTTAAATGTTTCTTGTTATTTTACTGCACAAATGCTTTGTAAAAATCAGACACCGTATTTGTCAAAAATGTGTAAAAATGGCAATTGCAGTTGTCAAGGCCTAAAAAAGTTTTTTTGCTCTGCATATTATGTTCTAATATCTAACAATATGTAAAATTTTGCGAATTATTTCAAAACCACCCTGTAAAAATCTATTTCTTTACTGATACTTGATATTGCGCATTTATCCTCTGTACCCTTCAAATGTTACAAAAATATTCCGCGGAAAATTTTGTACAACTATTATTGTGACATGATTTCGTAATTTAAATAGAGTTAAGTCTAACAGCTTAAAAGGATTAATTTGTTTTCCTCAATATCTTAGTAGATACGTGATGTGAAACACTATAAATATAAGATCTAATTTTGCATTTATTAAGTTTTGTTTGAATAATTTAGCTATAAAGCAGATAAAACATGAATTCTCACAAAACTGTTCAAGAAAAGTGGATTAGTCCTGCGAAAAGAGAATATATTCCAGTTGAAGGGTTTACTCTCACTGATCAATTTAAACAAGCAAAGCATCAAATTGATAATTTTGAAGTTAGCGATGATGATATTTGGATTTCTACCTTTCCTAAGTCAGGTAATTTTTATTTTTTTATTTTTACATACTGTATAAGTTTTGATAAAGGAACCACTTGGACTCAAGAAATGGTGTGGATGATTTTTAATAATTTGGATTTTGAAAAAGCAAAAGAAGATTTAAATGACCGATCTCCATTTTTGGAGTAAGTTTCTGTTTTTTTTAAGCCATATCTAACACACCGATGAATTTTCTCTTTATGAACTGTTTATTACAGAATAAGTACCCTAGTTGATTATCAAAAGCTGATGAAAACCTGTACGGATTTTAAAGTACCAGCAAGTCGACTAGACTCTATAAACTTTGTCAAATCTCAAAAAGGACCAAAGGTAGTTAAAACACATTTACCTTGGGAATTATTACCAAAACAAATTCAAAACGGAGTTAAAAAACCAAAGGTATATTACTTACTTTTTACGTACTTTTCATCCATTATAAACATTGTAGATTATTTATGTCGCTCGAAATCCAAAAGACGTTTGTGTCTCTTTTTATAACCACGAGCAGTTGATAAGCGGTTACACCGGCACTTTTGATGAATTTTGTGAATTGTTTCTTGCAGGAAAAGGTATAACATAATTATGTTCCGTTCCACTTCACTATTATTTGTTTTCTCTTAGTGTTATATGCACCATACTGGCAGCATGTTTTGACGTATTGGAAAATGAGGAACGCACCAAATTTCCTTTTCCTAAAATACGAAGATATGAAAAAAGATTTACGCAAAGTGATACAAAAAGTTTCCGAGTTTCTAGAACGTCCCTTGAACGATCAACAGGTTGACATTTTGCTTGAGCACTTAAGTTTTGAAAAAATGAAGCAAAATCCCGCGGTTAATAAAGAAGACATGATTAATATATATAAAAAACATAATATAACAAATTCCGACGGAAAGTTTTTCAGGTCTGGACAAACTGGTGATTACAAGGTTATGATGTCTTCAGAAATGATAAACCGATTTGATGAATGGATTCAAAGAAATACAGAAGGAAGTGATTATGTGGTGTAAAATGACCATTACATACATTATACATTAATATTATTAATATTAAACAGATATAAATTAATTCTATTACTTATGTTTATCTACTATGTACAAAATGCACTTACTATAGCGTTTACTTTTAAGTTTATATAAAACTTTATGATCTTAAAACTGTAGAACTAGCGTTGCCATGGGGAATTTTAATACTATAAACCTGTCTTCTAATATTTATATAATGAATTTAATTCTGTTAGTATTCAAAGTGCTTTTCAATACGTGTCTGTATAGAGTGATTTTGAAATACACAACTTGTAAATCCAATTTTAACCCATTAAAGCCCAAATTATTTTTTTTAGAATTTCGTTTAAAATTATATTTTAAATAAAATTATATGCGTATAGATGGCAGACCTACAGTAGCAATGCGCCTGTGTAAACTAAAATTAAAGCAAACAGCTGCTTAACTGACCAACCACAGTTCTTAGAATTCACTAGTTTTTATGGATGAAACAAAAACTAACAGCTGTTGGCTTATTTAACATATCAGCAATTCCCTTTTATGTCAACTTTAAGTGTTCTTGTCAAATACTCCTAGGAGTAAAATATAAATTAAAAAACAGCAAACTGATTATCTACATAAAGTACGGTATCATAATAATATTATTATTATATTATAATGTTCTTCTTCTTGGATCTTCTTGGTATGGAAACGATGAACAAAAACACGATTAGCCCGTCACACCAAACTTTTATTTTAATAGCACAACGCGTTTCGACCACAAAGATATAACAGATTTGAAAAATCAAGTGTGGCCCAACATATTTTTGAAAAAGACCATAAAATAGATGAAACTAATGTAAAAATCATTAGAGTAGTCAATAATTGTAAATTTCTTGACGCTTTCGAGAGTCTTGAAATAT